ACAGGACAGGAATGTTGCAGCTCTGTCACCTAATCCTCCCTGAATTTCAAATCCCTTCACCACACCTTGTTTATTCCCGTTATAAAAACCTTGGCCTGGAAAGAAAAGACCAGATGGTCTTTTAGGATATGAACCACCATTTTCTCAGATGGCTGGCCACCTGCATAAAGCGCCCAGAAAGACTCAGTCGCTGTCTCTGCTTATTGGGTTTGGTATTGACAGGCAGCCAGAATGCCGGTGTCTCTTCCGGTTTCTGTGGGAACAGGAAGTTCAGAGCTGGGAGACATGCCTGGTGGTAGCTGGACCTGATTCGATCTGCTAAGGACCAATGCAAATTTGTCTTTGGCCTACCTTCTTCTAATCTTTTAAATAAAAGAATTTCGGAGGACAGCTGATAATTTTTAAAAAGGCAAATGTTATATCTGTCTTTCAAAAAGTTAATTCTAAACTTTTAGCTATGTGGACACACTCGACCGGAAAGGGCTATAACAATATAGGAAGATATTTGTCATCATGTTGGTCCATGGGGGAGGGAGTTTCCTTCTCTAGGAAGTCGGATCTGAAGATGCCAGCCCCCAGGTCCCCAGCCACCACGGCTGCTGGCTGGCACGTGGGCACACGGCCTAGGCTCTCCAACTGGAGGGCGCTGCCCAGACTCTGCACTGGAAGCTCTTGACTCAGAGGTGCATGGAGTGCACATAATCTATTCTAGAGGGAGGTCCCGCACCCCTTCACCATGCTCCCCTGCAGTCCCACACTTCAGAAGCTGGGCCTGTCCAGTCTGTGCCTTCCTATGCTCCTCTCCGCCTCTAGATGGCGCATGGCAGACTTCTGTGGAGGGATATAGGTGAAGGTCAGTCTTGAAATTTCTTGGAAAACTCTTGCCTCCCTCATACAGTAACCCTTCTGTCTTCTGCCTCGAATGCCAATGTGGCATCTAGGGCTGCAGCAACCTTCTTTCGACCTTGATGGGACCACTGTGAAGATTAAAGCCAACAAGCTCATGGGAATAGAGCAGAGGGGGAAAGCCAGGGTCCCTGGCAGGTTTTTTTTAGATGGCTGAATCCATGCTTGCAACACCTGACTTCCAGATATGTGAAAAATAAGCATTTATTTTTAAACGATTATTGCCAGGTTTTCTGTTCTTCAAAACTGTGTCCATTCCGAACGAATGCTGTGTCCAGCATGGTGTGGTCAGCGGTGTGAACCAGCACGTCCTGGCCAGTATGGGGCTAGTGTTGTCAGACCAGTTCTGCAGCATTATTTCTGGTCACTCCTCCTTCTGAAGTCCTGAAGATTTTATGAGCTACGTAACATGTATTTTAGTACATTCCTTTTCTGCTTAAATTCACCAAAGTTAAAAAAAAAAAAAGATGATGTCATTTAGACTAGGAGAGAACACTGTGAAGATAAAGGCAGAGACTGGGTAAAAAATTAACCAAAGTTTTTTTCTGTTGCTTGCCATCAAGAATCCCAAGAAATCCAGAAACTGACCCCAGGGGTGGTGAGGATTTGAGATTGATTATGTGGTCTGGTTGGATCTAAGGACAATAAAAATTCAGGCAGTATTAAGACAGTTCAGGACACTAATGACCCTGTGGTCACTTGCCGTGAACGTCACCTGCACAGTGAAGTTAGGGCATCAGGAAACCAAGAAAACAGCATGGGGCACCAAGAACCCATGACTGTGGGTGGAGGGGTCACAGATGAGAGTGGTGGAAAGCTTAGGAAGGGAATGGCAGCCTCCTGAAAGGCTTGAGGACTTCTGCAACCACAGCTAAACCAACAGGGAGGTCCGTGGGTTCCTGATCACAGTGTCTGCTCACTTCACAACCTGCTCCTGTCCCATCGACCATTAGGGGACTGACTGGAAACTGAGCATCAGTGACTCTGAGTGGGGACCTAGGGGAATGAGGATGCAGACAGCACACAGCTTCCCTGCTCCCTGGTTAGAGACACTGCTCCCCCCTTGCTTCAAGACCCATAGTGTTTTGACCTCAGGAAGTCACTTTGCAAGGAGGAATGCCAGTCCCTTTGTGCCTCTTTCTTCTGTCTTGAGACTAAAACCCTAGGTAGATACTAACATGTCCTTCATGTTGCAAAACCAAATCTTTGACGAAGGAGATTCTATTCCAAAGGAATGGTAATATTTTTCTCTTTATCTTGGTAAAAGCCTTGGGAACACTCATGGGAACCAATCCTGAGGCTGCTTCACCAGAGAGAGAGGAACAGGACGCTTCCTTCCCAAGACAGTGTAACTCGGTGGAGTGAATCCTGGTGACCCACACCAAGAGAGGTCAAGCTGCCTGAATTTCTTTAACATCACGTAGGAGCAGGAATCCAAGGAACTAGGAACGTCGGTGTGGACATATTGTGCATGACCCACTTGCCAATTCCCTAACCCCGGCCCCCGAGAGGGACCTTTCATCAAGGCACTGAGAAATACATTGGTGAGGGAAGGGCCACCACCTCTCATGAGCACTTTCATGGCTATTTTACATACGGTGCTGTGGCTGACGTTAACCAGACCCCAGGATCCCAGCTGTCAAGGATCCCCGCCAGCGGGCGCAACCACCAGGAGAGGGGAGACCATATCAGCTGAAGTTATGGAAACCACACCCACGTCCAGGGCTTGTCTGGGGATCAGACTGGCCCGCCATTCAGGTATCTTTGACGGAAAGGGATCGATCCTGAGCGCCTAGGACCAAAACAGATGGGCAGCCCTGTGTGGTCTATATAATAGCCCATGTGACGGAAGCAAACTGAAAGTTCTGTAAGTCAACAACAGACAATCTGGTGCCCATACCAATTCTTAGAAGGAGCTTGAATGCCACAGGAGTGACAGATGCCTATAACACGCCCATAATGGTCCAGTTGATGTAGAAGATGCACAGTCATGGAGAGTGGCCACAGGTCATCATAAACTTAATAAGGTGGTGACATCAGTTTAGCCCCTTAAGGAGAACGATTTTTTTTCTCATTCCTAGTAAACAAAAAACCCCAAAAGCTGCTTGGTCCCGTCTGGCAAGGATGCTTTCCACCTCGCTTCAGAGTTACGGCAGCTCTGGTGCCACACATCGTTTCTATCCTGAGGAAACGCCTAAACGAGTGGGGTGACTGACAACATGCAAGGGTGCTCTGTAAGGGCACCTGTAAGTGCACAGGTGGTGCACCTCGCCTAAGCCTGAGTGGGTGGGGGCTGGCCTGGCCCGAGACTTCCTGGAGGAAGTGACACCCTTACAGCAGAGGGCTTGTTGGGTTTTTGGAGGACAGGGTGGAGAGAGTTTTCTTGGCACAGGGAGTTAAGAGGTGTTAACTCTCCCGTTAAGAGAGTTCAGCAGACAAGCTAGGGTAGGAGTTTGGACTTGATCCTCAGAACAAGGGGAAGGTGAGAGGAATGTAAGCCGAGGAATGGCATGGCCAGATTTGTTCTTTAGAAAGAACATTCCAGCCGCTCTGTGCAGAATGGATTGAGGGGGTCAAAATCGGAGATGGGGAGACTAATTCTATATTTTCTCTTTAAACAGTGATAGGGAGAAAAGGAAAGGGTAGTGGAACTAGAAAAGGAACTTGACACGAAAGGTACACTTGCCCCTGATGAAGCACCGGAAGCACTTTGGTAGTGTGTAAACACTAAATAAATAGGAGGAAAAGCAGGGCTGGATTCGGGCTCTGAGGGGCCCCTGTTAGGAAACAGACCACACAGTTAGGTGGGGAGCGGAATACAGGCATACCCCTTTGTCGGGCTTCACGGGTTTTGCGGTTTTTTTTACTATCTGAAGGCAAGACCCTCCGCCAGCAAAAAGATTAGCACTCACTTTATTGTGGTGGTCTGGAACCAAACTGGCAGTATTTCTAAGGTCGGCTTGTAGTAACTTGAGAAGAAACTAAATCACAAGAAATTACCCGCGCTTTGAAGAATCGGGTCCCTCTCTTCTGTATACGGGAACTCCTCGTCTAGACCTGTTTACAGAGGCAGCGGGGCATCCCCTCCTAGCGCAGCGCGCCCTACACCACCCGCGCCCCCAGGATAAGGCTAGAGAGGCGTTCTGAGACAAAAACTTAAGTCCCCTTCACTGCCTCCTGAGCAGCCACTCGCTCAGCCACAGCAGATGTGGGGCTTGCTGGTCAGGCGGAGAGACAGCCGTACTGGGCGGGTTGGATCGCAATGGGAGGCAGGGCCAGAGAGCGGTGCTACTTCTCTCGGAAGTCCTGCGGCTGCTGCGGCCCCCCACCGCCCTACGCTCCCGGGCACCCACTGCACTACTGAGAGGTGAGAGGCGCAACGTCCCCACCGCACGCACTGTGTGCTAGGGCGCACTGCGTGGGGCGCGCGGCGCGGGTCTCCGAGAACAAACGGGCGCCACCGGATCCTTCCTTCCTTCCCAGTTAACAAACTTGACCTCAAAAACAAAAACCGTCTTTGGCATTTCTAGATTTAGAAATAAGCGTCACCCCAGCATGAGCAGGCACGGAGTCATAACGTTTTATTTTTAAAAGAAAAAAAGACATAAAATTTGTTGTTTTTGAAGTAAAAGAATTAACTTCTGCTAAACTAACCATCGGAAAGTGCGAGGCGCGGAGCTCTACCCCAAGAGGGGCATGGGCGGGCAAGCGGTCTTGAGGGTCTTCACTGGCTGGGGGCGCGGCACCTGGGGCTTTGGGGGCGCGCGGGGTGGAAACCAGCAAGGCACAGGGCGGAGCACCTGGGGTAGCGCGGGCGGAGTCGCGCATCGTGGAGGGTCCGGGCTCGGCACCTGTGGGCGCGCAGGGCGGAGACGCGCATGCGGGGCGGGGGCGCAGCACCTGGGGGCGCGCGTGGCAGAGAAGCGCAGTGGCGGAGAGGCGCCGGTGGGCTCCAGAGGCCGAACGTGGGGACGAACGTGGGGCGGGGCACGCAGTGTGGGGCGCTGTGGTGGGCGCACAGGGCTGGCCTTGGAGCGAGCGCACAGTGCGGGGCGCGCGCGTGGAGCGGAGGCGCGCAGGGCGTGCGGGGGCGCGCGCGGGGCGGAGGTGCGGCGCCGCCAATCCCAGACAAAGGCCGCCCCGTAAATCATGTGGTGCCGGGAGGAAGTCGACTTGTTTTCTTTCCTCCAGCTGCCGGCCGGGCGGAGCGATGCGCGGAGACCCCCGTGGGGTCGGCCAGCCCTGATGAGGCCCGAGTCCCCGGCCGCGCCGCAGCGCCCTCGGCCCGATGGCGGCTCCGCGCTGGGACCCACTCCGAAACGACTCGCTGCCGCCCACGCTGACCCCGGCAGTGCCCCCCTACGTGAAGCTCGGCCTCACCAGCGTCTACACCGCCTTCTACTCACTGCTCTTCGTGTTCATCTACTTGCAGCTCTGGCTGGTGCTGCGCTACGGCCACAAACGACTCAGCTACCAGAGCGTCTTCCTCTTCCTCTGCCTCTTCTGGGCCTCCCTGCGGACCGTCCTCTTTTCCTTCTACTTCAGGGACTTTGTGGCGGCTAACGCGCTTAGTCCCTTCGTCTTCTGGCTGCTTTACTGCTTCCCCGTGTGCCTCCAGTTCTTCACCCTCACACTCATGAACTTGTATTTCACGCAGGTGAGTTGGGCGGGCCGGAGACATCTGGCGAGGGCTCACCTGGCAAGTCGCCCCGCACAGCGCTTGGTGCGGGGGTGGGGGCGATGGCAGCGCGGGGGCCAGTCGCGGAACCCCAGGGGCTGAGAGTGCGGGGTCGGGGAGGCACTGGTTCTGGGTCGTCTGAGCCTGCCCTACCTACCTTCAGGCGTTCTCAGGGAACGCCCTCTCATCCCCAAAAGAAGCCAAGGAGGACAGTGAGGGCCGGAAGGCCACCTGTGAGTATGTGCTCTTAGTGAAGCACCATCCAGTGGGTGCCTGGCGCGCAGCATCTTCGTTCACACATCAGAAGAAGTACTAGCAGGTGTGTCCTCTGGGAGATGAACTCTAGAATTTTCCCTCCACCCTCTCACCCCAGCCTGGAAAGGTCATCTGTACTTTTGGACCAGACTGGCTTTTTTGAGGGTGGCAGGTGGGACCGTGCTTGCTTGGGTGACGTTTAGAACCTCCAGGCCAGGAGCCCCACGGACTTAGGACTTACTAACTCACTTCCAGGAGTGCCGAAGAGCAGTCCTGGGTGACGCCCGGCGGCATCAGGCCCCAAGCACAAGCTTACACGTTTGCTGGGGCCCCTTTACAGGAGTCATTTTATGGGGAGCATTGTTAATAAGCTAATGGGAGAACATACATTAGTGAAAGCAGAGTAATTGTAAAGTAGTTCGCAAATGCCGCGTTAAGCGTTGTGTAAAGTTTAATCACACCCACCACCACCGTCGGTGCCATCTCTGATTCTCACTAGCTTTCCAAGCCCCGAAATGTCCGTTCCACCAGGACTGCACTCGGGGAAGGCCCAGGCATGTCACCTGCTGGGGTCATTTACGAGCTGTCTACTGGGCAGAGGCTCGGTGCAGACAAGCACTCCATTCCTTTTAACAGTGTGTATTTCTCTAAAGAAAATGTCATTGATTAAAGAAGATAAGAAAGAGTAGAAAAAAGATTGATTGCTCCGGTGTAGTAGGAGCCCGTGACTAAAAATTTGGAGGAAATACTTACCACTAAAAAATAGCCTATGTACTACTTAGAAGCTATTATAGCAAAATGGATCAACCCCAGAGGTCTCCGTGTACTTCCAGTGGGCAAACGATGTGTGTTATGTCTCCAAACACTACTCTTAAGCCCCCAAACAGTTCAGGCAGCCAGCTCCTCTGCAGACCCTCTGGCTTCTTAATTGGCTCGAAAGGAGTGGTTTCAACACGACACAAAGTCAGGTGGGTTGATGTTACTTCCAGAACTGTGACAAGGGTCGTATTGCGCATGGAGGTCCTCATTGCTGTCCCTTTGTGAGGCTGCCCTGGTAATCACATGCAAAGTCTGTGGGATTAGGGGCAGGTGCTGCACGTTTTTTTCCCCCTCACCATCTGCTGGTTGGGAGTAAACGCTGAGCAAGGGAAAGAGTGACCCGGCAGACAGCCACTCCAGCCCAGAGGCCTGTGGCCACGTCCCTGCCTTCTTTGTGTCTCAGAATCTTTTGTCCCCTTTCTAGGGCGGCTGGCAGGAGCCAGTAGTACCTGAGAGCTGGCATCTCGGACCTGGCAGGGCAAAGCCATTCCCTGGCCACCTGACTAAACTGATGCTCTGGGGAGTCACAGATGGGCCCCCCTTTGGCTCCCAGCTCTGGCACCGCTCTGTCCTGCCCCTCCCCCGACGTCTGCTCCGAGACTGACGCAGGTTTTCAATACACTGGAAGTGTCAGGGGAGCTGAGGAGTCACTGCTGCAGGGGTGAGGGGGCACGTGGCATCTCAGAGCAAGGAACTCAGATTGTGGAGTGGGGGTGGGGTGCAGAAGCAGCCACCCTTTAAGCAGCAGGTGCCGCGTGGTGGGCACAGTTCTAAGGGGTGTGTCTTAATTTTTCTTCCCAGCAACCCTGTGAGGAAAGTACTGACAGGGACCCCATTTCATAGAGGCGGGTCAGACAGGTCAGATGACTCGCTCAAGGTCACAGGGTGAGTGCACGGTGGAGCCATGGTTGCCCATGTTTGCGACATCTGACTGTGAGGCTTATTCCTCATGGTACAGTATTCGAAACCCCTCCCTGTGGAAAACACGCCCTCAGCTAAAATGATTCCCGGTTCTTCCGGAGGCGACTGCCCGGGTGGGGACAAAAAGTGCTCACGACCCAGTTCAGCAGCAACTCCAGGGGTTTGGGGGGGGCAGCTAGGCTTTGGAAGACCTGAGTGGAACCTGGGTCCTCAGAGACAAGGCAGGTTTGCGCCAGCTGCTGAGGCCAGAGGAGAGGGCCTGGAATGAACTGGAAGGGGGTCCCGAGAGGTGAAGGAAGGCTCTTTTCTGTGGCTGTGATGCCCTTTATGCTTCCCAGCGCCTGGCCCTGCCTGCTGACCTCCCCGACTGCCCCACAGGAGGGAGGGTCTCAGCACACACTCCTGAGGTCTGGGGGCCACCCCATGCCCACACGGCAGCCTGAGTGGCACTGCCTGGGGTGGCCGTGCTGCTGCAGTCAGGTCCGGCCAGGTCTGAGGGCTGGGGTGTGTCCTGTGCCCTTGGCCTCTCTCGTTGTCATCTTTGGAATCCGGCTCTTCTGGGGCTGGCCCAGGGAGGGGCAGGCTTGTCTTGTGTGACCCTGTGCCTGTCCACCTCCGGGTCTTGCTCTGCCTGTGTGAGACTCTGCCAGGTGGCTGTGTCCACGTCATGGGGTCACCTTCGTCCTGGCTTCCTCCCTCTGCTCTGTCCCAGTCCTTTCCCTTCTTCCATCCCAGTCCCTTCTTCAGGTGGGACACACAGGTGACGGGCTGCTCCCCACCCACTGCCTCCCTGAGGCCTCCACCTGCCCCGTTTCATTCCCTGCCTGTCCGGGGGCCCTGCTACCTGCAGATCCCAAGTTGCTGGGACCCTCAGACCTGCAGGCACAGGCTGGCCTCTGCCAGGACACTCTCCCCACGGCCACTTCACTCTGGTGTCTGCATCTGCGAGAATCTGTCGGGAGCGGGGCTGGACTCCTTTCTTCCTCACCCCTGAGTAAGGTGCTGTGTCCTCAGTGACCTGGGGTGAGGGCTGGCCTCACCCCGAGCACTGCGCTCCTGGGCACAGGCCGATGACTTCTCTGCTGTCCTCCTTCTCCGACCTCTTCCTCCTCCGACCCTCTGATGGGCTATAAAGGGGCAGGTGCTGGCAGCTGAACTGGTTCTGCCCACTCTCAGCGGCTCTGTGTGTGTGTGTGTGTGTGTGTGTGTGTGTGCTGGGGGGGACACATCTGGCCTGAAGGCTCGAAGCTCTCCTGGGGACTCAGAGCATGGAGGGCCTGGCAGTGCTGGGAGGTCCCCAGCTCCCTCCTGCCCCAGCAGCAGCAGCAGCAGCAGCAGCATCGTGTTCATGGGCCTCTTGGTGGGGTTTCCAGTGGGGCAGGACCCTGAGGCCTAAGTGTTGTGGCGCCTGCTGCCACCCAGCCGGGCAGCTCCTGGGCAAGCAGGTCTGTCTGCAGAGCTGGGCGGAGGGCCGTGGGTGGCAGGTTGGGATGTGGTGGAGGGCCTGGTGACCCCTGCTGTTTTCAGAATGGCCTCAGGCCATCGGGTTCCTGAGTTGGGTTGAGTGGAGCGAGACCCTGCGACAGAGCCCTGTAGTGCGAGGCAGGAAAGGGGAAGTGAACCCTCTGGCCGGGGAGGTGGTGTGACCGATGGATGCTGACGCAGGAGCCCGCACCGCACTGTGCCTCAGAGGGCGACTGGGGAGCCACAAGGGGGTCCTCGTGGGGTCCAGGAGGCATGGGGGGCCTGGTGCATGGGAGGTGTTGGCGCTCTCCGCGAGGCCTGGGTTACGGCGTGCCCCCGAAGACCTGTGACTCAGGAGGCAGCCTTGGAGGGGACGGAGCAGGCACCCTGTGGGCAGAGCCGGGTCCAAATCCAGGCCTGGCCCCCAGGGCACCAGCCTTCCATGCCAGGAAAATGGCAGCTGTGCAGCTCATGGTGGGCGGGGCAGCCGAAGGGGATGCTGCCCCCTCTGCTCTGCTCTGCCCCCTCAGGCAGGCCGCGCCTCCCAGGCCTCAGAGCCTGGACCCAGGCTCCTGAGGGCCAGGCCCCGGTGCTTTGCCCGTACCAGCCCACATGTCAGCTACTTGACTTGTCCAGCAGGCTGCAGCTGACGTGAGTGACCTGGCTGGGACGCTGGCCTTGCCTTAGGGCCTTAGGGAGAACATGTGGGTAGCAGCTGCTCCCAGTGCAGCCCCTCACATCTCAAGCCGAACGCACCTGGAGGCCAGCACATGAGCCTCTGGGCCTGGAGGATTCTAGAGACGGCCCAGCTCATGAGCCCGGCGGGAGGGCAGAGCCCAGCTGGGCTGGCACCCTGCTGCCCACACACCCTGACTCGACAGGCACCGGGGCCCTCACCCTGCTCATTGGGAACCTGGTGGCACCGGACTGCGAAGCCACAGCCCTCCACCCACCAGGAAAGGGGTGTGGGGTCTCGCTGTGGCTCATTTCATCAGGGGTGTTCACCAGACCCCTGTGGTGTGCCCCAGTTGGGGAGCTGGGCAGGGGGAGGCCCTGGGCCTCTTGGGGATTATGGAGACAGAGGCTTAGAAACTCACGGGGCTTGCCAGTCCCCAGGTGCCGACTTCAGAGCTGAGGCCCATGGTCGGTCACTCTGTCCAGCGAATGGGCTTGGCCTCGCCTGTGCACTGCACACTGGCCCTGGTCACTCGGTGGCCTCACAGCCACCAGAGCTGTGTACACAGGGTGGGCAAAAGTAGGTGTACAGCTATTTGTGTGGAAAAGAACACAATAATCAGTCAATAACAACACAAGGATACACTCTGTTTACGCACTCAGTGCCGTGAACCCACCTTTGCCCCACTCTGTGTGCGCACCTGTGAGCGCCCGTGTGAGCCCTGGTGTGTGGCTGTGTGAGCACGCGTGCATGCACCAGGCACATGCCTGTGTGAATTCCTGTGAGCATGGGTGTGACTGCCTGCATACACGTGTGTGAGCGCAGCGGCACATGGGACCAGACA